CACCATCTGGGCCTGCTATTTGCGACCCGGGGCGGGGGGCGGGACAGCGCCATCCCGCCTGCCCTGCCGCCATCCAGGCCTGCTATCTGCGACCCAGGACGGAGGCCGTCCGTGTGCAACGTGACCCGGGGCGGCTAGGCGGTGTAGCAGTGATCGGCCAGCCCGCCTGGCCTCCATCTGGGCATCCCGTGTGCGACCCGACCCAGCGCAGCGGGGGGGGAGCAGTGATCCACCGGCCCACCTGGGCGTCCCATGTGCGACCTGACCCAGGGCAGGCTGGGCGGGGCAGTAGCGATCCCGCTGGCCCCGCCCGGCTTGTTGTCCCTGGCGTCCCGTGTGCGACCCAACCCGGGGCAACACCCCAACTCCCGGACTGACACCCTGTCGTGTGCGCAACCCGGGGAGGCGGGGCAGGCACCAAGGGATGGGGCCTGCCATCTGCCACCTGGAGAGTGGGCCTAAGCCAGCAGGTGGTTATCTCCCGAGGGGTCCCAGACTGTGAGAGGGCACAAGTGGGGCTGAGGAACACCCCCCATACCCCCCTCCCCGCCAGTGACAAATTTTTGTGCACCAGGCCTCTAGTATAAAATAAAAGTAAGACCAACTACAGAAACAGAATAAGGACTCTCTAAGTGTCAAAGTCCCCATTATTAGCCTCATTATATTAGTCCCTTATAGTTCCACATATATCAAACGCAAAATATGCCAGACAGATTTGTACTATGAAAGAAATAGATACTGCAATCAAGTGGCCTTAGAAATTTAAATAAGTACTATAAAATGTCATATGAGACTATTCACCAAACCCTTAAGAATATGAAGAAAGAAACTATTTAGGATTCCCTATCCCCTCCAATATGAATAGTAGACGTTGTATCTATGTTTTAGAGAGGAAACAAATAGTATCTATACTTTAGAGATATAATTCATAAACATATTCCTGAAAACTCAGACCCATACTAACCTCTCCTCCCGCTGATTTTGCATTTAAATAAATGTTATTTTATAGTTTCCCTAAAATTTAATGTGTGCAGTCTCATGTCTTATTATGCATATAACACTGTAGGTGCTTAATAAATAGTTCTTAAACCAAAATGAAATTATACTGTTTTGAATAATGAATTTTGAGATAGAAACTACTGTATTTTATTCCCAAAAAATAAGTCATTCCCAAAAATTGTTCACATGCCTGTTTGGGCTCTGTTATCATTGGATTAAATGTAAAGTCGTTATCCAACAATGTTACCACGCCTTCAGACTCAGTTACGGGAGGTGTTCAGTCCCTTGTAGTTCCATATAAATTTCAGTTTTTCTATTTCAAAAATACAGCTGGGATTTTGATATTATGTTGAATCTGTTTTCAAATGTAAATCGGAGATATTAACACCACCTGCCCCTACTTTCTTCAACATAGCAAATTTCACTTGAAACTTCTCCTGAACCTACTCAGTCCCAGGGAGCGTTCCTTCCATAGAAAAATCGGAAAATACAAAATCTTAACTACACAGTATTAACTGCACACCACTAAAGACTGAAAAGTTAATTTCCGGGGAAAAGATCAAATAGAGTCCATTACAGGAGTCTCCACGATCAACAGAGCAGATCAAGTCCACCCCTGCGGAAAGCAGCTGACAAACATCAAGTAACATATTTCTAAGAGGCTGCTGTTAGGGCTCCTGAAGCGCCCCATCCCTGCCAGCGCCGAACCCCAGTGTCAGGGCCCCGCGAAGGCGCCCACAGGTGCCCCGAGCCTCGGCAGCGTCCTCGCCACCGCGACCAGCCTGTCAGCTGGTTTGCTCCCCGCGCGCCTCGCCGGGCTACCGGGCCGGCCGCGTCTGCCGGGAGCGGGGGCGGGAGGTGGGCAGGGGCGACGTCAGGGCCGGGAGAAACGCCAGCGGCGGAGGGCGCTCGCCCGGGGCCGCCACTGGCGCCCCACGCAGGGCCGCAGGGCCCCGCAGCCCAGGCCAGGTCGGTCCGGGAAGGGTCGAGTGGGCTGGCGGGAGGGGGCGGTGGCCTCACCGTAGCTCCCGGGAGGCGGCGCCGCACAGGATCCCGCAGTTGAATGCTCTTCCGGGTCGGGGCGGGCGCGGCGGGGTCGAGAGCAACGGTGGCCGGAAGGAACCAAGAGCGAAGGAACCAAGCGCGGGCTGGTGAGCTGCGCAGGCGGTGGTCTGCGGTGGCTCCGCTGCAGCGGAAAACGAAGGGCCGGGCGGGGAGCCTCCCGCAGCTTCTCCCGTCTCGCCTTGCGGGGGCGACTGGCTGTGTCGGTGGCTCGAGCTGGACGGCCTCAGGGACGCCTTTCTGCCCGGCCCCGACGGCCTCGGGCCCGGCTCTAGGGGCTGGCCGTCGGCGTACACCGTCCCGCCCCTGCTCCCGACCCCCGCAGCCCGCTTCTAGTCCCCGAGCGTGGCTGTGCCGGCCCTTGGCGGAGACAGGTTTTTACTCAGCGACACCTGCTCAGGGTTACGTGCAGGGCTGGCACTGGGGATGCAGAGGGGCCACCAGGCTGGTCCCTGACCTGGGAATGCCAGGCCGGCGGAGGGCAGGCAGCGCCCTGCGTGCAGGGATGGGCCAAATAAAGGAGCTGCTGGAGCCTGCCCGAGGGGGCCTGTCCAGACACAAGTAGGGCAAGCTGATGGAGAGTCGAATAAAAAGGGTAGCCGAAACCGGTTTGGCTCAGTGGATGGAGCGTCGGCCTGCGGACTGAAGGGTCCCGGGTTCGATTCTGGTCAAGGGCATGTACCTGGGTTGTGGGCACATCCCCAGTAGGAGATGTGCAGGAGGCAGCTGATCGATGTTTCTCTCTCATCGATATTTCTAACTATCTCTCTCCCTTCCTCTCTGTAAAAAATCAATAAAATATATTTTAAAAAATAAAATAAAATAAATAAAAAGGGTAAGGAGGAACGTGTTTCATGTCGGAGCCGGCTCAGTCGAGAAACTCACGGAAAAGTCTTTGTCGTCTATCCAGGGAAGTGTGTAGAGAAGGGAGGGCTAAGGAGGAACCTAGAGAGCATCGGTACTGTAGGTGTGAACAAAGGAAAAGGAACCCCCACAGAGCAACCAGATGTTGGGTCGGAGGACTGCTGAGGATAAGCAGGAGAGGGAAGCAGTTCAGTAAGGGAGTGGTCACCCGCGTCCAATGTGGAGGTCAGGTGCCCAATAGGAAAATCAGAATTCAGGAATACGGTGTCAGAGTCTATAGTGGCGTGAGTTTGGGGTCCACCGCTATATGCTCCATTCCGAAACAAGGAGCAGAGGTGACTTTATTCCTGAATACCTTCGTGTTTTAAAGAGCACTGTCATAGTATTTGCAAATTTCAGGATTCCGCTCCTGATAACTGAGTTCCTTGAAGGCAGGAAATACTTCTTACCCTTGCATCTACAGTGCCTGCCACACACAAAAGCTTTGATCAATGTTGCTTAAAGAATAAATGAACCCATAAAAGTCTTTGGTGTTCAATGTTCACACACGTCTTTTCAGAACCCTTAGCGAAACTGCGATGGAGGTCAAATTTGTCTATTCAAGTGTAGAAGATGGGAGAATCCCAGCAGGGGCAGGGGCAGGGGACAGAGGACGGTGGAGGTCCAGGGGTTTAATGGGTGGGAGAGGGTCCAATGGATACTGGGATGGAAAACCCAGAAGAGAAAAAGAACAAAGATTGAAAATTTAGAAGCTGAGTTTTGGGGGCCAGAACTGGAGATGAAGCCAAAGAAATCAAAAATAGAAGCAGGAATAAAGAGCAAAGACAAGAACAAATGATTGTACAGAAGTTCGACAGGGAGATCCCGTTCTAATTGGACATTTGAGAGGAAGTGTGGTGTCAGCCAGTATGAAGGCTCCTTGCAGGGCTGGTAGACATAATATATCCCCGTGTCCTCTAAGTTCAGTGAGCCTAGGGCTTCCTCATATGGGCCAAAGGGAAACCACAACACACTTTGGAGTGACTGAGGGGGAGAGACTTGTCTCACAAGTCCATGACTCCAGTACATTTCCATTATATAAAATATTACAATAAGCTCTACCAAAATGTAAATGTTCTTCTCTGAAAGACTATAAATCATCCATCTGTGAAGTAAAACCACAAAATTCTAAGTTGGTTGAAGAATTTTGAAATATCCAAAATATTAGCCAAGGGGGCATAGGTGTAACACCAGCAAGACAGGGCCAGAAAATGGTTATAATTTGATAAAGCTAAATCAAATATTTTGTGAACAAAAGGGGCAAAATCAACCTTTAAGGTAGAAAAAGGAAGACCCAAATACCAGGTGTACAGGTTAATAATGCAGATGTTTTTCTATAGATGGAGTTACACATATGTTGATATATATGCAGTTTGATATGTATGCTATTTTGTTGTATTGACAGCAAGCTTCAAAACTTCATATGTCAAATTTTCTGAAGGTGTTGATATCACAGATATTTTTATACTTAAAAATGTCGAATTTCATGCCAAAAAAAAAAAGAGCATTTGCTGGAAGTTTTAATTCATTACTTTATTTAGAAGAAAAGTGCTGCTGTAAGTTATTGTATACTTTGGGAAGCTTATGGTGAACAGGCTCAATCTCAAGATACTTGTGAATGCTGGTTTAAATGCTTTAAAAGTGATGATTTTGATGTGAAAGACAACGTCCAGGTCAACCGAAAAAGTTTGAAGACCAACAATTACAAGCATTATTGGATGAAGATGCGTGTCAAACTCAAAACAACTTGCAGAAAGATTAAACGTTGCTCAGCAAACAATTTCCAATCGTTTTCAAGCAATGGGAAAGATTTTAAAGGAAGGAAAATGGGTGCCACGTCAACTGAATGAAAGACAAATGGAAATCCGAAAAGTCGTCAGTAAAATGTTGCTTCAACAGCACGAAAGAAAGTCCTTTTTGCATCGAATTGTGGCTGGCGATGAAAAGTGGATTTATTTTGAGAATCCCAAATGCACAAAAGCATGGGTTGATCCAGGTCAACCATCAACATCGACTGCAAGGCCAAATTGCCTCGGAAAGAAGACAATGCTCTGCGTTTGGTGGGATCAGGAAGGTGTGGTGTATTATGAGCTTCTAAAACCAGGTGAAACCGTTAATACTGATCGCTACTGACAACAATCAATTTGAACCACGCTTTGATCATGAAACGACCAGAATGGGCCAGAAGACACAGCAAAGTAATTTTGCTTTATGATGATGCACCATCACACACTTCAAAACCAGTTAAAGACATGTTAAAAGATCTTGCCTGGGAAGTATTAACCCACCCGCTGTTTCCACCAGACCTTGCTCCTTCAGATTACTACTTGTTCAGATCGATGGCACACGCACTTTCTTTTTTTTTCTTTTTTTAAATTAAGTTATTACATATGTGTCCTTATCCCCACGTTACCCCCATCCCCCCCACTCATGCCCTCACCCCCCTGTTGTCCATGTCCATTGGTTAGGCCTATATGCTTGCATATAAGTCCTTTGGTTGTCTCTCCCCCTTATCCCCACCTTCCCCTAGCTTCCCTCTGAGGCCCGATGGTCTGATCGATGCCTGTCCGTCTCTGGATCTGTCCTTGTTCATCAGTTTATGTTGTTCATTATATTCCACAAATGAGTGAGATCATGTGGTATTTATCCTTCTCTGACTGGCTTACACGCACTTTCTGAGCAGCACTTGAAAACGTAGTACAAAGAAGTGGAAAATTGGGTCTCTACATAGTTTGCCTCAAAACAAGAAAAGTTCTATGAGGGACGGTATCCACAAATTACCTGAAAGATGGGGGAAATGTGTAGCTAGTGATGGACATTACTTTGAATAAAGCACTTTTGATGTTTCTCTTGAAAATACCATGTTTTCTTTGATTACAAAATCCGCATTATTAACTGGTACACCTGGTACATGAAGTATAATAGGTGAAGTTTATCCCACATTGTCCTAGCAGCCTTGAATATAGCATCTGTTCTAAAGAACTGTGCTTTGTTAAAGAACCAAGGTGATTCATGAGGCTCAACTTGGCTGGATTCTGGGAGATTTCAATGATGCCTCAAGAGATAGACACTTATCATTGCTATGAAGGGCATATTTTTTTATAGAGTGGTTCCCCCCAATATTTCAAGCATCCATCTGGCCCCATACCTATAGTTATTACAAATTTATCAAATATTCCCCATGCTGTACTTTACATCTCTGTGACTATTCTGTAACTACCAATTTGTACTTCTTAATCCTTTCACCTTTTTTACCTAGCCTCCCAACTCCCCTCCCCTCTGTTAGTTGTCAATATGTTCTCTATATCTATGAGTCTGTTTCTATTTTGTTCATCAGTTTATTTTGTTCTTTAGATTCCATATATGAGTGAGATCATGTGATATTTAACTTTCTCTGACTGGCTTATTTCACTTAGCATAATACTCTCCAGGTCCCTCCATGCTGTCTCAAAAGGGAAGAGACCTTCTTTACAGCTGCATAGTACTCCATGGTGTAGATGTACCACAGCTTTTTTAATCCACTCATCTACTGATGGGCATTTGGGCTGTTTCCAAATCTCAGCTATTGTAAATTGTGCTGCTATGAACATAGGGGTGTTTCAGGTTTCTTAGTATATATTTCTAGAAGTGGGATTACTGGGTCAAATGGAAGTTCCATTTTTAACTTTTTGAGGAAAGTCCATACTGTTTTCCATAGTGGCTGTACCAGTCTACATTCCCACCAGCAGTGTACTAGGGTTCCCTTTTCACCACATCTTTGCCAGCACTTTGTTGACTTGTTGATGATAGCCATTCTGATAGGTGTGAGGTGTTGCCTCATTATCATTTTAATTTGCATCTCTCTGATTAGTAACTTTGAGCATTTTTTCAGATGTCTCTTGGACATCTGTATGTCCACTTTGGAAAAGTGTCTATTTAGGTTTAAACTTTTTTTTATCCTCACCCAAGGATATGATTTTTTTGAGAGAGAGAGAAAAAAACATGAGAGAGAAACATTGATCAGTTGCCTCCCATACATGCCCCTCCCGGGAATCCAACCCACAACCTTTTGGTGTACAGGATGACACTCCAACCAACTGAGCCACCCAGCCAGGGTA